GAGTGGTGTCTTCTAATTTAGTATTTAGCAAAGAAGCTGCTGAGTACACTTTCACTGCTCCCTCACGATTTTCCCATAATGAACTGCCATTTAAAATAGTATGTAACATACCATTCTATGAAATCATAAGGTCATAGCACATATGAATTATTTCGGATTTAGTAGACACAATAGACGAATTAGTTATTCATGTACCCTTGCCGATCACCGAGACAAAAGCGAGCGCCCTCCAGCATTAAGAATCAGACAATAAACACTCTCAAGTCTCGTTTGAGCCTTCGCTTAATGTTTGGGAGTATTTTTTATTACAAGTGACAGTCGACTCAAAGCAGAAACGTAGCTCCTACGGTTTTATCTGTCGAACCTCTTGCATTGTGCGCTCTAAAAATCAGATACGTCAGTTCTGACAGAACATGATAAAGAAAAAAGAGAAAATTCTCAGCCTACACGTTCAAAGAGGAAAGAAGAAAAAAATGGGCAGGGGCGGAAAAGATATTAATTAGCGTCTTGTGTGTAACCTGTTTTTATAGGTTGTCACTTTATTACAAGGATTCTTTCAATTTTGATGCCCCTGCAGATATGTCTCGTTTTTCTAAAATAGTTAAATAGTTGATTTACCCCCCCCCCCCCCCCAATGTCATCTTTTTGTTAACCAGTGCTCCCCACCCTTTCCCCCACCGTCTTTTCTACTGCTTAAAAGTGAATGTTAGGTCTTATTCGTGTCCATGACTCCCCAAACATGGCCTTTCCCGCGTGCATTCATATTTATTTTTTATTGTTTGTATGTCTGCATTTCTCCCTCCTGAAAACCCCCTTGCCCGCAGTCTCATATCTCCTCTTTCTCGTCTAACCTTTCTTACTGTTCTTCTATTCTCAACTCCCTCCTTTTTTCTGGCGGATATGCGTGAACTACCGCGTACTATACTTGCACAGAAACTTCACCAGTGTATTATGTAAATGAACCCAATCTCACAGGCACTAAGGGTTAAATAGTTTGTATTTCTGTGGCTTTATTCAACACTGTTCAAAGACGTACCAAGCGCAGAGAGACGTTAAATATTTACAGCTGAACGGTTGAGAGAAAGTCCCAAAAGAGCAAGAACTGTTAAGGTTATTTATCTGCTATGTCAACTGTATTGTAGGCCCGACAAATTTGTAAAGACTCGAAGACTCTCTTATTTTGACATTGTAGCGGCACCTTGCTTACGAGAAACGATCAAATGGTATTTGAATGTTGTTGGGGGGGGGG